GGAGGATTAGCCTAGTGAGCCGCGGCGCCAGCTGGGGGGGGGGGGGGGAGGAGGGGATTTTTAACAAGAAGTTAACTTGATCAGATTAAGGCCACAAGTTAGTGCTCATTTTCCAGAAGCTATGGTTCCAATGTCACTTGACATTTCCAAGAGTTTGCAATGTTGTTTAAATGAGCCTTGGGGTGGGCATTGTGGTACAGTGGGTTAAGCCACCACTTGAGATATTCACATCTTATATTAGAGTGCCAGTTTGAGTTCTAGCTACTCTGTTTCTAATCCAGCTTCCTGGATTAGATGGTTCAAGTACTTGCCCTGCTATCCATGTAAGAGACCCAGACAAGTCCCAGGCTCCTGGCTTCAGCCTGGCCAGCCCTGGCTAGTGCAGGCATTTGGGGAGTGAACCAGCAGATGAAAGATTCTGTCTCTCTCTTGCTCTCTCCTTTCATCCCTCCCTCCCTGTCACTCTGCCTTTTAAATAGATTTTAAAAATTTAAAAATCAGTCCTGCATGATTTCCATCTCTAATGGCATATACAGAACTTAAAAGTGGCCTACCCCAACGGATTTCAGTGCTCAAATCCTTTGTTAGTGGTTAGAGTTGAGCAAAGCATGAGGAGTTTGTAAATAATTCTACAGGATTGCTTTCCTGAGCTCCCTGCTCTCCATGATCTCTCTGCTCTCCATGCTCTCTCTCTCTGACACTTTCTACCTCCCAAAGTCCCTCTTCTTGCTTCTCTGTTTAAGAATCCAGAACTTTAATTTCCTTATTTGCTGTTCATATCTCACACCTGCATCTCTCTTGGGTGACAAATGGTAAGAGGATAGAGACCGGAAGGAAGCTATGAAGTCCCCTCCATTCTCTTGGGACCGTAGTTCCTCTAATCTTGGAGAAGGATTCCTCTTCCTTCTGAGAATGTGAGCTGTTCAACCACCACTATTGAGACTGCCACAGCCAACACAGCATTTCTCCTCCTGATGGAGAGCTTCCTCTTGGAACTATGGAGTGTCTCTTAGAAATTCTCTTGGAATACTTTGTTTGTATGTAGCACATAGGTTTGGGTTTCAGGTTGTATTGGAGTCTTCTGCCCAAGACATATTAGAAGAGGGTAAGACAAAACCAATAGAAAACCCACTGCCAATTGGTTGATTCCTTGAGTTCCCATGTTCCTCCTCCATCTTCCTGTTCTAATTTCTTTAGCCAGACCTCTGCACTGCTCTGTGCATTATGTCTATGGTTTTCCATTGTTATCAATGGAAGACACAGAGTATAATATGTTATTCTATCCTAACCAAAATGAGATGCTGCTTTGGTTTTTATCCTTTGTCTGTTTCATGAGTTGCTCCTTTTCAATGCCCCTTTGGTAGTTTTTTCTGCTTGGTGGGATTTAAATATCAGCATTTCTCTGGGTTCATCTTGAACAGTTTTCTATCTTTCAAGAGTTAATGTTAACCATGTTACTTAAATTATTACATATGGGGAAAGTTTTTTATCTCCCGACTGACTTTTCTCAAATTAGTATACCCAACTGACTGCTTGATATTTCTGTTTATCTTAAAATCATAAAAATAAATTCAACAGGTCTAAAAATACAAATCATGTTCTACCCGTTTAGCCCAAACTTGGCCATCTTTGAAGATTCTTTGTGTCAGTTGTAGACACCATCAGCCTCTGTTCTACAAACTGGAAGCCTAGGATTCATTTGATTCACTTTTATACCTAGCCTTAGTAGAGCTGGTTAACTGAATGCTCTAAAGATGCTATGCTATGAAGTTCTGATAACTTCCTCATCTCCACCACCTAACAATTGCTGGAAATCAGAGAGAGGTATTCCACACAAGAATGGTCAAGTACCTAACTGAATAGCCATCAAAACTTTACTGCATGTATATTTTTATTTGGTGCATGGTCACTGTGTACTTAGTGCTTCACAAAAAATATGCATTGAATGCTTTCTCAGTACGTACCACACGCTAGGAAGATAAACATCAAAAAAGTAAACTCTTGAATTACAAATTGTGATGACAGCTCTTAATAAAAGAAGGAGTTTCATTCATAGGAAATTATGAAAATTATGATGTACCTAAAGCAAAGGATGTGAATGGTGAGTAATCATATACGAAAGTCCTTGCATGTCATCCTAAGAATTTTGAGTATCCATTCAATGAAGACATGCTAAGGGATTTAAGCAGAGAAGCGACATGATCATATTTTTCTAAAGCATAAATCTGGTCATGTATTCATTCACACAAGAACTGGCCCTCCATTGGAAGTAGTTTTATCTTCTCTGTCAAAAATATTTCCCTCTTTTAAAATTACCTGAAAAGGATCCTGTATCTGAGATGCTATACAAATAATAATTTTATTTGGTGTTGGGTGTAATGAAACCTAATCACAATGAAGAAATGCACCATTTGCCAATAATTAATTTTAGTATCATATATTTCAAACATATCTATAAATGCTTATTTATTATTCACAACAATTTTAGGAACTATACAGCTCTAAGTATTAATGTTTTGGTTGCAAGTTGCCAGGGGCATATCTACCTTGGACTCTCCTGGGTCCCTCAGATCTCTGGGTCATTTCTAATCCGTGTGGTTGTTCCATTCTAGTCAATAACCCATTTTGAAATATTTGATTCCATGTCAATCTGCTCAGTTCCTTGCATTAAAGCGGACAAGACTAATTTTAGAAGGTGTTCAGTCTCTGTCTCCAGTCTCTTAAAATTCACATTGAAGCAAAGATTTCAGCTATTTGTTACAGCTCTGATTACTCATGTTTATTCGGCACAATACATAACATATTCCAGAAAGCAAACAACTCAACTCTATTCCAATAAAAGCCTATTATAAAATTTCACTTCAAAACTCTAAGCAAACTTGGTATGGAAGGAACATTCCTCAATACAATCAAAGCAATCTATGAAAAACCCACAGCCAACATCCTATTGAATGGGGAAAAGTTGGAGGCATTTCCACTGAGATCTGGTACCAGACAGGGATGTCCACTCTCACCACTGCTATTCAATATAGTTCTGGAGGTTCTAGCCAGAGCTATTAGGCAAGAAAAAGAAATTAAAGGGATACAAATTGGGAAGGAAGAACTCAAACTATCCCTCTTTGTAGATGACATGATTCTTTATTTAGGGGACCCAAAGAACTCTACTAAGAGACTATTGGAACTCATAGAAGAGTTTGGCAAAGTAGCAGGGTATAAAATCAATGCACAAAAATCAACAGCCTTTGTATACACAGACAATGCCATGGCTGAGAAAGAACTTCTAAGATCAATCCCATTCACAATAGCTACAAAAACAATCAAATACCTTGGAATAAACTTAACCAAGGACGTTAAAGATCTCTACGATGAAAATTATAAAACCTTAAAGAAAGAAATAGAAGAGGATACCAAGAAATGGAAAAATCTTCCATGCTCATGGATTGGAAGAATCAATATCATCAAAATGTCCATTCTCCCAAAAGCAATTTATAGATTCAATGCAATACCAATCAAGATACCGAAGACCTTCTTCTCAGATCTGGAAAAAATGGTGCTGAAATTTATATGGAGGCACAAGAGACCTCGAATAGCTAAAGCAATCTTGTACAACAAAAACAAAGCCAGAGGCATCACAAAACCAGGTTTCAGGACATACTACAGGGCAGTTGTAATCAAAACAGCATGGTACTGGTACAGAAACAGATGGATAGACCAATGGAACAGAATTGAAACACCAGAAATCAACCCAAACATCTACAGCCAACTTATATTTGATCAAGGATCTAAAACTAATTCCTGGAGCAAGGACAGTCTATTCAATAAATGGTGCTGGGAAAATTGGATTTCCACGTGCAGAATCATGAAGCAAGACCCCTACCTTACACCTTACACAAAAATCCACTCAACATGGATTAAAGACCTAAATCTACGACCTGACACCATCAAGTTACTAGAGAACATTGGAGAAACCCTTCAAGATATTGGCACAGGCAAAGAGTTTCTGGAAAAGACCCGGGAGGCACAGGCAGTCAAAGCCAAAATCAACTATTGGGATTGCATCAAATTGAGAAGTTTCTGTACTGCAAAAGAAACAGTCAGGAGAGTGAAGAGACAACCGACAGAATGGGAAAAAATATTTGCAAACTATGCAACAGATAAAGGGTTAATAACCAGAATCTACAAAGAGATCAAGAAACTCCACAAAAACAAAACCAACAACCCACTTAAGAGATGGGCCAAGGACCTCAATAGACATTTTTCAAAAGAGGAAATCCAAATGGCCAACAGGCACATGAAAAAATGTTCAAGGTCATTAGCAATCAGGGAAATGCAAATCAAAACCACAATGAGGTTTCACCTCACCCCGGTTAGAATGGCTCACATGCAGAAATCTACCAACAACAGATGCTGGCGAGGATGTGGGGAAAAAGGGACACTAACCCACTGTTGGTGGGAATGCAAACTGGTCAAGCCACTATGGAAGTCAGTCTGGAGATTCCTCAGAAACCTGAAGATAACCCTACCGTTCGACCCAGCCATCCCACTCCTTGGAATTTACCCAAAGGAATTTAAATTGGCAAACAAAAAAGCAGTCTGCACCCTAATGTTTATTGCAGCTCAATTCACAATAGCTAAGACCTGGAACCAACCCAAATGCCCATCAACGGTAGACTGGATAAAGAAATTATGGGATATGTACTCTTTAGAATACTATACCGCAGTAAGAAACAACGAAATCCAGTCATTTGCAACAAAATGGAGGAATCTGGAACACATCATGCTGAGTGAAATAAGCCAGTCCCAAAGGGACAAATACCATATGTTCTCCCTGATACGTGACAACTGACTGAACACCAAAAAGGAAACCTCCTGAAGTGAAATGGACACTATGAAAAATGGTGACTTGATCAGCATAGCCCTGACTGTTAATGAACAACTTAATACATTATCCCTCTTAGTAAAAAAAAAAAAAAAAAATAACACAACAAATTACACTGAAATTCCATGAAAATGATTATGGTAATGGGATTAGGAAGATTGAGGTATCTAAAAGAGAAAAAAGTGACTTCAAGAATCAATGCTTCCTAAGTCAGCTCTCCCCTACTATTCAAAGTTGTTACTCAGGGCTTGTTTCCATTGCTCACTATCAAGCATCTCTCCCCTTTTTTGTTAAGATTTATTTATTTAAAAGGCAGAGTTACAGAGACAGAGAGAAGGACAGCAAGAGAGAGATCTTCTATCCACTGATTCACTTCCCAAATGGCTACAATGACCAAGGCTGGGCCAGGCCAAACTAGTAACCTGGAATTCCATCCAGGATTCCCAAATATGTGATCAAAGCCCAAGTACTTGGGCCATCTTCTACTGCTTCCCCAGGTGCATTAGCAGGGACCTGGATCAGAAATGAAGCAATCAGGATCCAAACCAGTGCTCATATGGGATGCCGGCAATGCAGTGCTATCTTAACCCACTACACCACAGCACCTGGCCATCACTGTCTCCTGGCAGCACCATCTGGCATTACATTTGTCCTCTTACTCCATCTTGAGAATTTTGCTTGCAATTATTTCAAGCCTTTTTTATTTGGGTTTCACATCCAGAACACGTAACAGGAGTCCTAGATCTAAGAGAATAGTCTAAGAGTTAGATAATAAAACTCAATATCCAGTATTAAAACTTGTTAAGTGCTTCCTATTTTGAAAAATGAATTTATACTTCACTCAATGCAGCTTTCCCTTCCCTACTTCAGAAGTAGAAGCAGGCAAAGAGATGACACAGATGGAGGAAGGAAAATAAAATATGAAATGAAAAAGGGAGAAATAAGGACCAGTAAGAGAGAAGATTAAAAAAGAGATAAAAATTACTCTAGTTTTCTTCTGGAATGATAGATTTTTCTCAGAAACTGAGTATCCCAAAGTATGGTCATTTCACAGCCTATTTCAGAATTTCTTGGGGCTCTAATGTAACAGCAGATTATTAGGATCCATTCTATTGCTACTGAATAAAAATCTGTAGTTGAGGCCCAGAATCTGAATTAACAGGCAATATTTGTATATAAATAAAAGATTTTAAACAGCTAATGTAAATATTGTCATTTTTAGATATTTATAAAGCAACAATCTTATTCCCCTTATTTCTTCATAATTTTCAAAAGTGGTAGGTGCTTCCCAAAAGTGATTGGTTGAAAGCTAATAAATTTATTAATTTATATAGTGCTACAAACCTGAAAACTTACAAAATAATAGGAATAGTCATCCTCATAAAGTCACTCTTCTACCGAAGTACAAAGACACACAGGGAAAAGACCTAATTAGTGTTAAGGATGGTTTTCTCACACACAATTCGCACAGGTATCTTTGTGCTTAGAGAAGCAAGGTTGGCAGGTGGCAAATCAAGTAGACATCACTGGATACTTTACTCAGGAAAACAATGATTTTTATTCAAGAGTTTTAAATAACAAAGGGAAGTTAGGGAGCTACCACTGTTGAAGAAAGAGCTCTGTCCAAGAAGTCACAAGGATGTTGGAGTATCAGTTCCAAATGCATGATGTTGTATAAGTCTTTTAAATTTTCCTTCATTCTGTGTTCTCACACAATGAAAGCCATTCAATTGCTATCACTTGCTTCCTTGCTCCTTTATGCTCCTATTCCTTAGAAGGAGTTTAAGGAGCGGAGATACTCAAGGTTCTCCTGGCATTAACATTTGCTATATGAATCTATCCAAGTTTCCTTCTGGAGTAACATTCGATGACTATAGTTCAAAATTTCTTCATCTCCATGAAACAGAAAGGACAGGAAATCTGAACAAGTGTAAATTGGAACCAACTGGTGACCACAGGCAATGATTCTATATGCACATATCTCATAATTTTGGAACAGTGAGATCACAGAACTAAAGTTCAGCTCAGAGTTTGAGGGGGTTTTATTTGTCTAGAATTTTTCTGTCAAGGACACTTCCTTGGTACAAGCCATAGGCACCAGTCACAGACGTTCATGTGTTTGATGCAGTGGCATTTTGCCCAGCATTTTTTTCATAGCATCTTTGACTTCTTTGTTTCTTAAACTGTAAATTATGGGGTTCAACATAGGGGTAAGCACTCCATAAAGCAATGAGATGACTTTATCAGTTTCTTTTGAGTTTGATGAAGAAGGCTTTAGGTACATGGAAAGAGCAGCCCCATAAAATAAAATCACCACCATCAAGTGGGCACCACAGGTAGAAAAAGCTTTGTTTCTTCCTTCTGCTGAACTGATCCTCAGAATAGCGGAAAGAATGAAGACATAAGAGACGCAGATAAAAAGCATTGGAATGGGCAGGAGGAGAATGCTGACCACAAGCATGACCACGTCCATGAGCAATGAACTCACGCAAGCTAACTTCAGAACGGCCAGAATTTCGCATGTGAAGTGGTCGATGAGATTCCCGCAGAGCGGCATCTGCAGGGCAAAACTGGTTTCCAGCAGGGCAGTCAGACAGCCTGTGAGCCAGGAAACGGCGGCCATCTGCACACAGACCTGCCTGTTCATGATGATGGGGTATCTCAGCGGGTTGCAAATGGCCACATAACGGTCATATGCCATCACCGCCAGCAGCAGACACTCTGTGGAGCCCATGGCAAGGGACAGATACATCTGGGCAGCACACCCAAAAAAGCTAATGGTCTTCGGGGATGACAGCAAGTTCACCAGCAAAGCAGGAATCGAAGCAGATGTGTAACAGACATCCATGAGAGAGAGATTTCCCAGGAACAAGTACATGGGTGTTTTAAGGCGCGAATCTATGAACGTGATTAAAATAAGTGTGCTATTCCCCAGGAGGGTTATCAGATACATGACAAGGCTGAAGACAAAGAGAACAATCTCCAGTCTTGGGTACTGGGAAAATCCCTCCAGGACAAACAAACTCCACATGGTGAAATTGTCTCCTTCCATTTCCTTTCTTTCATATGTAATTATTCTAGAGTTATTCTCTTCATTTCATCTGAGAACATAAAGAAATAACTTATTTTCCCTACTGTAAACACAATAATACCACAAGAAACCATGGGACAATGTATTTATTGATCTAAAGGGGAAAAGCAGGTTTGATCCACATAAATAATTTATTTTTCCACAACAAAATATAAAATAGTAAATTTAAAAACAAGAAGAAACATATTTCATATTAGAATCTCAGCTCACAATCTATCCTTGGCACATAATAAGTTGTCAATAAAGATTAGGAGAAGGAAAAACATGAATGTACTATGAATATACTATGAGCACAAGTTAGAAAAGTAAGCCAGAGGAAGGATGGAAGGAAAGCTTGGAGGTACAGTAAGAACCAGCAAATCTTCACTGGAAAATTAGGAATATTTAAAGAAATAAGTAAGCGAATTTTAAACCAACACATTGGAAGTTCTTGGTCTAAATGAACTCTATCTTTTCTAGCTAATAGCTTGGAGTTCTGTATGACAACATTGCTTGAATCACTAAAGATACCATTCTGTGATTATTTTTGAGAGTGAATGCATATGTCACACAAAAAAACTCACCACATTTGGACACTGACACATACACTGTAAAACTTCATTCATTATTGTACCCATATCCTTATGGATGTGTAAAGAGTGCCAAAGAATACCTTACTCTACATTCAATCTCATGAAAATCCAGGAAATCTAGCACTAATTTCTTTTAGAAAATTATGTTAGCTCTCTTTGCAAAGTAAGATTTATAGCTCACTGAGGCATAAATAAAACACCTAGGGCTTCATTTAATTTTTTACATTCACATTAACAAAAAATCATTCCAAAAAACTTACCTGCATCTGCACTTAGATTGCTCTGCATCACCTGCAAATTTTTCTTTCCCTATTGATTCTTTCAATTTTCAAAAATTTTCATTCTTAAAAATGTCCTTCAGTGCCACTCTGTGTACACTGCCTTCCTCTCTGTCGCTTCTCTCATAGACAAACCCTTCAGTGCTATGGTTCATGTTCCAAGAGCTCAGTCTTAACTTTCTCATCAGTGGCGTACTTGCCCAGTTTCTCAATCTCAGTCAATGCTATCATTCTTATCCCAGTTCTCCCTATAAAAAGTTGACATAGATGGTGCTGGTGAAAATAGTAAAGTTGTGCAAATATCCTATGCTATTAGGACAGCGGTGTAAGATTTGTTCAAACTGTCTATTATATTACATTATTGTCTTTGACTTCTCCTTCCACTGCCTCTCATATCCAGCTCAGTATTTTTATTTTCTGTTTGTCAGTGCCCTCCAGGAAGCTTAAGTTAGGCCCAAATATCATCAGTAACGCTGACTGCAGCCACATGCATGGAACTGGAGGACAGCATGTGAAGACGGAAAATCCTACACAGAAAGACACCTGCCATGTGGCCTTATTCACGTGTAAAAGCTAAAGAACCCAGTCAATAGAGAAAAGAGGAGAATATTGGTCACTAGAGATGTGAACATGTAGGAGGCATGGGGATGGAGAGAGGTTAGGTTATGGGTACTGAAATATACTTAAATATGAAGAGTTGGTTAGTACTGGTAATTTATAGCACAGTTGGATAACTGTAGTCTACAACAATTTATATTTCAAAATAACTAATAGAGTTTGAAGAGTCCTACCACAGGGAAATGATGAATATTTGATGAGACAGAAATTTTAATTACCCTGATTTATTATATATGTTATTGTACTAGACTCCATGAATATGTATGAGTATTTTCAATTAAAACTTTTTAAAAGGCCACAATTCAATGGCATTTAGTACATACACAGTGTTCTGCAACCATCAGCATTCTCTAGTTCCAGAACGCGTCAATCACCCCAAAAGGAAACCTACCCCCATTAAACAGTCACTCCCACTCCTCCATCATGGCAAGCCCCTGCCAGCCACAAACCCGCTTTTCATCCAGAAAACCTATTAGAATTACCTGCCTCGGTGGACACTGAACATGCGGAGCTTTTGCTTTTCTTTCCAAACATGTCATCCTCCTCCATCACAGTAGTTCTTATCCATCATTAATTAATAGACTGTCTCTTATGGAATTCTCTGGATATTTTATATTTAACAGATTCTCTACAAAAAAAAAAAAAAAAGATTACAAAACATAGCTTTAAAGCAACTGAATTGTTTGCGCTACTGTTAAGACTAACACACACATTTTTTTAGAAAGAAAAATCCACTCAGTTTCCTGGAATTTCATATTTTCTCTTGTTTAAAAATAGTAGGGAGCTGGCGCTGTGGCGTGGTAGGTGGAGCCACGACCTGCAGTGCCGGCATCCCATGTGTGCACCAGTTCGAGCCCAGCTGCTCCACTTCCAATCCAGCTCTCTGCTACAGCCTGGGAAAACACCAGAAGATGGCCGAAATCCCTGGGCCCCTGCACCTGCCTGGGAGACCAGGAAGAAGCTCCTGGCTTTGGATCAGCACAGCTCCAGCCGTTACAGTCATCTGGGAAGTGAACCAGCAGATGGAAAATACCTCTCCCTCTCCCTCTCCCTCCACTTCTCCCCCCTCTCCCCCCCCCTTCTTCTCTGTAACTCTTTCAAATAAATAAATAAATCTTTTAAAAAAGGTCAAGAAAAATTGGTCCTTCCATCTGATTCTGTCACCAACTTCAAATAAATATTGTTTTACAATCATATTCATGAAATTGGTTTTGTGTGACAGTCTCCATGCCAAAAATTAGTTATGTAAAAATCAACAATGTAATTCATTTCTTTGAAAAATATTGAACCTTTTTTTAGCACATTATTTATTTAAGTCAGAAAGCTTCTGCAGCAGCAGCCAAGGAGAGGTGCTCCAAGAGACAAAGACCCCAAAAGTACTATTACCACAACTAAAAATGCCAAAGGATAGCAGCTGGAACATCATGTAAATTGAAGTCAGCTGTTGTTGTGGGGGAATATTTATTGTCCCTCAACAATTTAAAGTTCATCAGCTATAATACAGAGAGGTTTGAAACTTCAAATCCCTTAGAGATAATGTCCCAAAGATCCAATTATATTAAACTTTTACGAAGTCAGAGAGTGCAGGGCCGGCACTGTGGGGTGACAGGTGGGGCCGCTGCCTGCAGTGCCGGCATCCCATGTGGGTGCTTGTTCAAGTTTCAGCTGCTCCAGTTCTGATCAGGCTCTTTGCGATGGCCTGGGAAAGCAGTAGAAGATGGCCCAAGTCCTTGGGCCCCTGCAACCTCGTGGGCAACCTGGAGGAAGCTCATGGCTCCTGGGCTCCGATAGGCCAGCTCCAGCCATTGCAGCCATCTAGAAAGTGAACTAGCAGATGGAAGACCTCCCTTCCTCCCTCCTCCTCTCTCTGTGCCTCTGCCTCTCTATATCTTATTTGGCCTTCAGATCTTGGATTCTAAACACCATTCTCAACTAAAAGGAAGCATGACTCCATGAGACAATGGCTGCTATCAGAGCTGGAGTGGGAAGAGGGTGATATCGACTTAGGATGTCTTACCATATCAGAATGTAAGATGGATGCAAAGATGGGGCCGGTGCTGCGGCGTAGCAGGTGAAGCCACCAACTGCAGTGCTAGCATCTCTTCTGGCTTTGGATCAGCGTAGCTCCAGATGTTGTGGCCAACTAGGGAGTGAACCAGCGGATGCAATACCTCTCTCTCTTTCTCTCTCTTTCTCTCTCTCTCTCTCTCTCTGCCTCTCCTTCTCTAACTCTGACTTTCAAATAAATAAATAAATATTTTAAAGAATTAAATTAAAACAAAAAATTACAAAAGATCAGTGAAATACAGAGCTTTTTTTGAAAAATTAACAAAATTGACACACCACTGACCCAACTAACCAAAAAAAGGGGGGAGGATACCAAAATCAGTAAAATCAGAGCTGATAAAGGAAATGCAACAACAGATACCACAGAAATGAAAAGAATCATCAGGAATTACTACAAAGAGCTTCATGCCAACAAATCAGGAAACCTAGAAGAAATGGAAAGATTTCTGGACACATACAATCTTCCAAATTTCAGTCATGAAGACATAGAACACCTAAACAGACCAATAATGTAGAGGGAGACTGAATCAGTAATAAAGACCCTCCAAACAAATAAAAGCCCAGGACCCAATGGCTTCACTGCTGAATTCTACCAGACATTTAAAGAAGAATCAATCCCTTGGGGTTGGTGCTGTGGTATGGCAGCTGTGGCTGCCACCCACAGTGCTGGCATCCCATATAGGCACTGGTTCAAGTCCTGGCTGCTACACTTCTAATCCAGCTCTCTGGTATGGCCTGGGAAAGCAGAAGAATATGGCTTGACTCCTTGAGCCCCTGCACCCACTTGTGGGAGACCCAGAAGAAGCTCCTGGCTTCAGATTGGCGCAGCTCCAGATGTTGTAGACATTTGGGGAATGAATCAGTGGATAGAAGACCTTTCTCTTTCTGCCTCTGCCTTTGCCTCTCTGTAGTTCTGCCTTTTGAATAAATAAATAAATCTTTAAAAAAAAAAATCCCGAGCCGGCGCCGCGGCTCACTAGGCTAATCCTCCGCCTTGCGGCACCGGCACACCGGGTTCTAGTCCCAGTCGGGGCGCCGGATTCTGTCCCGGTTGCCCCTCTTCCAGGCCAGCTCTCTGCTGTGGCCAGGGAGTGCAGTGGAGGATGGCCCAAGTGCCCTGCACCCCATAGGAGACCAGGAGAAGCACCTGGCTCCTGGCTCCTGCCATCGGATCAGTGTGGTGCGCCGGCCGCAGCGTGCGGGCCACGGCGGCCATTGGAGGGTGAACCAACGGCAAAAGGAAGACCTTTCTCTCTGTCTCTCTCTCACTGTCCACTCTGCCTGTCAAAAAATAAATAAATAAATAAATAAATCTTTAAAAAAAAATCCCAATTCTTCTCAAGTTATTCAAAACAATTGAAAGGGAGGGTATCCTCCAAAACTTCTTCTGCAAAGCCAGCATAACCTTAATTCCTAAACCCGAAAAAGATACAACAGAGAGAGAGAACTATAAAACATTTTCCTGATACAACATAGATACAAAAGTACTCAACAAAATACTAGCCAATTAGATCCAACAACACATCAGAAAGATGGCCCATCTGAACCAACTGGGATTTATCCCTGGTAGGCAGGGATGGTTCAATATCTGAAAATCAATGTGATACATCACATTAACAAACTGAAGAACAAAAACCATATTATTATCTGAATAGATGCAGAATAAGCATCTGATAAAATACAACACCCTTTCATGATGAAAACTCTAGGCAAATTGGGTACAGAAGGAACATTCCTAAACACAAAAAATCAAGGCAATCTATGACAAACCCACAGAATGCATCTTACTGAATGTGGAAAAATTGGAGAAATTCCCCCTGAGATCTGGAACCAGACAAGGATGCCAACTCTCGCCATTGCTATTTCATATAGTCCTAGAAGTTTTAGCCAGAACCATTAGGCAAGAAAAATAAATCAAAGGATACAAATTGGGAAGGAGGATGTCAAACTATCCCTATTTGCAGATGACATGATTCTATATATAAAGGATCCAAAAGATTCCACTTAGAAACTATTAGAACTCATAAAAGAATTTGATAAAGTGCAGGCTATAAAATCAACACACAAAATTCAATAGCCTTGATATACACAATGTCATACCTGAGAAAGAGCTTCTAAGATCAATATCATTCATAATAGCTACAAAATAAATTTAAATATCTTGTAATAAATTTAACTTAAGATGTAAAAATCTCTATGGTGAAAATTCCAAAACATAAAGGAAGAAGTAAAATAAGACATAAAAAGTAGAAAAATCTTCCATATTCATGGATTAGAAGAATCAATATCATCAAAATGTCCATACTACTGAAAGCAATATATAGATTCAGTGTGATCTCAGTCAAAATGCCAACAGCATTCTTTTCAGATCTAGAAAAAAATTACGCTAAAATTCATATGGAAACACAAGAGAACCAGAATAGCTAAAATAATCTTACACAATAAAAACAAAGCTGGAGGCACCACAATACCATATCTCAAGACATACTACAGGGCAATTATAATCAAAATAGCCTGGTACTAGGACAAAAACAGCCATGTAGACCAATGGAACAAAACAGAAGCTCCATAAATCAATCCACGCATCTACAACCAACTTATCTTTGACAAAGGAGCAAAAATTAATCCCTGGAGCAGTCAGTCTCAACAAGTGGTGCTAGGAAAACTGGATCTCCACATGCATGCAGAAGTACAAAACTAGACCACTCCCTTACACCTTACACTCCCTTACTCAAAATGGATCAGAGACCTAAATCTAAGACTTGATATCATCAAATACTAGAGAACATTGAGGAAACTGGCACAGGCAAAGACTTCTTAGAAAAGAACCCAATGAGCCGGCGCCGTGGCTCAATAGGCTAATCCTCCACCTTGCGGCGCCGGCACACCGGGTTCTAGTCCCGGTTGGGGCGCCGGATTCTGTCCCGGTTGCCCCTCTTCCAGGCCAGCTCTCTGCTATGGCCAGGGAGTGCAGTGGAGGATGGCCCAGGTGCTTGGGCCCTGCACCCCATGGGAGACCAGGAAAAGCACCTGGCTCCTGGCTCCTGCCATCGGATCAGCACGGTGCGCCGGCTGCAGCGGCGGCCATTGGAGGGTGAACCAACGGCAAAGGAAGACCTTTCTCTCTCTGTCTCTCTCTCACTGTCCACTCTGCCTGTCAAAAATAAAAAAAAAAAAAAAAAAAAAAAAAAAAAAAAAAAAAAAAAAGAAAAGAACCCAAAAGCACAGGCAATCACAGCCAAAATTGAGAAATGGGATTACATCAAACTGAGAAGCTTCTGCACTGCAAAAGAAACTCTCAGCAAAGTGAAGAGGCAACCGACAGAATAGGAGAAAATATTTGCAAACTATGCAACTAATAAAGGATTAATTTCTAGAGTTTACAAAGAGCTCAAGAAACTCAAGAACTACAAAACAAACAATCCAGTTTGGGCAAAGAACCTGAACTGACATTTTTCAAGAGAGGAAATTCAAATGGCCAACAGACCTGAAAAAATGCTCAGGATTCCTAGCCATCAGGGAAATGCAAATCAAAACCACAATGAGATTTCACTTCACGCCCATTAGAACGGCTCCCACACAGAAATGAACAAACAACAAATGCTGGCAAGGATATTGGGAAAAAGGTACCCTGATCCACTGTTGGTGGAAATGTAAACTGGTCCAGCCAGTGTGGAAGACAGTATGGAGATACCTCAGAAAGATAAATATAGACCTACCATATGACCCAGCCATCCTACTCCTAGGAATTTACCCAAACCAAAAAACATAGCATATTAAAGAGTTATCTGTACCACCATGTTCATTGCAGCTGAATTCACAATATCTAAGATATGGAATCATTTTTCTAGATGTTATCTGTAAAATTAGAGCAACTAGAAACAATTAACAGCTCTACTTGATAAAGAGGAAACTGAAGCTCAGAGATGGGAGGTCACATGTCAAGGTCACAGAACTGATAAGATGTTTAGATTAGAATTTGAAATGGAAACTGCGTACCTATAAACTTGGCCTCACCACCACTTAGGGCTTGGTTAGTTACTTGGTTGGTTTGTTCGCTGCTTGCTTTATTAGTCCATTTTCCATGACTATACCAAAATACCTGAGGCTGGGTACCTGACAGAGAAAAAAAGTTTACTTGGCTTACAGTTTTGGAGCCCAAAGAGCACAGTTCCAGCCTCTGCTTGGCTCTGGTGAGCCTCATGGGGAATGGTGTCAAAATGGAAGACATGAAAGTGACACATGGTGAGACAGGAAGACAGAGACTGGGCTTCCATGAGTTCCTTTCAAGGACATGTCCCCAATGCCAGGACAAACTCTCAGTAGGCCCCACTTCTTCAAGGTCCCATAACCTCTTAATACTGCCATACTGGGAACCAAGTCTCCAGTGTATGAAGCACTGGGAGATGAACTACACCCAAACCACAGCAGCTTTTTCACAGAACTTAAAAAAGTTATTGTGCATGAAGTGCTCAGGGATGTGTATGGCCCTGTATGATCACGAGCAGTAGTTACTTATTCAATTATAGTGGCTAATAGCATGGATTCCTCACCATGTGACTGAAATATGCTAGAAAGTCTAACAAGAGCTGTGAAGAACTTACATTGAAGAAACAGGAGCTGGTGTTGTGGTGTAGCCAGTAAAGCTGCCTCCTTAGATGCCAGCATCCCATATGGACACTGGTTCTAGTCCCAGCTGCCCCTATTCTGATCCAGCTCTCTGCTAGGGCCTGGGAAAGCAGCAGAACATGACACAAATGTTTGGACCCCTGCACCCACACAGGAGACCTAGATGAAGCTCCTGGCTCCTGGCTTCAGTCTGGCCCTGCCCTGCCCTGACCTTTGTGGCCATATAGCAGGTGAATCAGTGGATGAAAGATCTCTTTCTCCCCCTCTCTCGGTAACTCTTTCAAATAATAAATCTTCTTTTGAAAGGAACAATAAAATTTTTAATAACAGTAGTGTCTTAGCCAATAAAATACATGGATATTATGCAAAATTGAGTCTAAAGGCTGGCATTGCAGCACAGTGGGTTAAGTCACAGCCTGAGATGCCTGCATCCAATATGTATGCTGGTTTGGGTTCTGGCTGCTGCACCTCTGATCCAGTTCCCTGCTAACACACTTAGCAAAGCAGCAGATGACCCAATTACTTGGGCCCTGTCACCCACATGAGAGACCCAAATGGAATTCCAAGCTCCCGGCTTCAGCCCGGCCCAACCTCAGTCATTGTGGCCATTTGGGGGAGTGAACGAGCAAATGAAACATCTTTCTCTGTCACTCTGTCTTTCATATAAATAAATCTTTTTTAAAAAAATCTACAGTCTACCTCTAAACATACATTATTTTTATCACTCCACAAAATTCCTTTCTGATAAAATGAAAAACTACTATATTAAAATACAATCTTCAAAACTGAAGCAAAAGATGTTTCCATAAAAGAAGGTAGAGATGAAAGGGGGCTTTCAGAAGGCTTTCTCACAAACCAAATGAAATAAATCAAAGGAGAAAATGCTATTTAATAGCAAAACAGACTTCAGCCACTTACAGAAGCGTGAATGAGCTCACCTCATAGCCATGTGGCTCTTTTCTGTAGAAACACCTCAAGGGATCTGAAAGAAGGCCCTGGACCAGTTCAAAAGGGAAAAGGTTATGATAGAAATAACTATTGTACTTAATAATTATCTTAAAGAGTTCTAATGTTTATTCCAGAAAGTGGGCATCTGACTTAATGGTCAAGCCGTCAGACCTGGGACACACATATCTCATATCCAGTTGCCTGGATTTGAGTCCCAGCTCTGCAACCAACCCGATTTCAGGTCTTAATGCAAACCCTGGGAGGCAGTGGTGCAGTTGGGTCCCTCCCCCCACCATGTCGGAGACCTGGAATGAGCTCTATGCTCCCAGTTTTCTTTCTTCCTCTCTCCCTTCCCCCTAATCCCTCAAATAAAGTTCTGTGTTTTCCTTAAGTTCATTCTTGGGTTCCTGAAAAGGGGTTTGAGGCACTGGGAGAGAGAACTCGGGAGGGTATTACAAAGAGGAGAGAGAGTGCAGAAACTTTGCAGGAACAGGGAATCCAGAGAAACCAATGAGAAATGTTGGCTAGGGAATGTTAGGGATCTATAAAAATAGTGAGCTCTCATACTGGATTTTAGGTTGTTGGCTGGTCTTGAATATTTTCTACTCCACTCTGATACTCCCAAACATTCAATTAAAGTCATAAAACACAGCATCTTAAATAATAGAGGTTTGACAATCGAAGAACAGGATTCAGTGCCAGGATGGAGACGTTAGAGGTGCAGGGACTGAAAGATATCTCTGTTCCAACCATTAGCTGATCACTAAGCTAACTGAGCAGACACGGCAGTAGTCACAAATAAAAAGGAATTCAGACTTTGCAAAATTAGTTCAAGAAGTCATTTAAGAAGAAAAACCCAGCAGCAACAACAAATAGCAACAATACATCCTAAAATGGGAAGGAAATCTGATTTTTATTTTAAATATTTAGTGTTTCAACATTCCATTTTATTCTGTTTAATATATTCCATCCTTGGCAAAAAATGACTTAAATGAAAGATCTCTGCGAGTGAGATCCCAGCAGAAAGAATGGGCCATCAAAGAAGAAGGTACCTTTCTCTGAAGGGAGGAGAGAACTTCCACTTTGACTATGGCCTTGTCTGAGTAAGGTTGGAGTTGGCCAACTCAAGAGGCTTCCATAGCCTTGGCAGCTCATGACAAGAGCCTCGGGTGATCACTGACATCATAAATAAGAGTGTCAATTGTTAAATCAACAACGGGAGTCACTGTGCACTTATTCCCCATGTAGGATCTCTGTCCTTATTGTATTGTACTATGTGAATTGATGGTATAACTAGTACTCAAACAGTACTTTATACTTTGTGTGTCTGTGTCAGTGCAAACTGTTGAAATCTTTACTTTGTATATACTAAGTATTTTCTGTATATAAAGATAATTAAAAATTAATCTTAACAAAGAATGAGATGGGAGAGGGAATAGGAGACAGGATGGTTTGCAGATGGGAGGGAGGTTATGGGGAGAAAAACTGGTATAATCCAAAAGTTGTACTTTTGAAATTTATATTAAAGTTAAAAAATATATATTTCATCTTAAATGTCTACTTTTCAACAAAAATTACAAGACATGTGAAGAAACAGCAAAGTGTGGCCAACATTTTATGAAGATCTATGAAGACATGATCATAAAGAGCTCCAAAATATTCCAAACAAAACATGACAGAACTGGGAAGCAAAATACACAATAAGTCATAATACTTGGAGACTTTAATGAATTGACTCATTTAGATTGTTTCCACTATTTGGTTCTCATCACGTTGCTATGAACATTTATATTTAAGTTCCTCCATGGACGTATGTTTTCATTTCTCATAGATATGCGCTTACATAAAGGAATGAAGTTTCTGGGTTATATATTAACTCTCCGTGTAAACATTTGAAGAACTGTCACCCAAAGCATTTTATTTTCCCACCAGCAATGTAGGAGGGTTCCAATTTCTCCCTTTCCCTACTAATACTTGTTATGTTGCATTTGCATTCTCCTAATGACTACTGATTTTAGTAGTTTTTTCATGTACCTAGTGACCATTTGTATATCTCCTTTGGATAAATATCTATACAGAACCTCTGTCCATTTAAATAATAGATTGTCTTTTTAATACTGACATAAAATTTCATTATTCTGGACACAAATCCCTTATCAGGTATATGACTTGCAAATATTTTCACCTAACCTGTGGGTTATCTTCTCACTTTATTGATAGTGTTCTATGAAAACACAAAAAAATATTTTGATGAAATTCAACTTCTATGTGTTTTCAGTCACTTGTGTTTCAGGTATCACATCTTAAGAAGTCTTCCTAACCCATCATCATGAAGATTTATTTCTATAATTTCCTTCAAGAGCTTTGTAGTGTTGGCTTACAATTAAGCCTGATCCATTTTGAGTTCATTTTTGTCTGGGATATGGATGCATGTACAGGAAGATATCCAGTGTTCCAGCACAATTCTCTTTTCAATGAATTTGATGGCCTTGATAAAACCCAGTTTATCATAAATGTGAGGACTTAATTTCTGGACTCTCAATACTATTCCTTTTATCTGCAAGTCTATCATTTTGCTAGTACCACATAGACTTGATTCCTAAGTTTATTATAAGTTTGAAATCAAGAAGCATGGACAGT